TATACTATAATATAATATACATTACACACATATACATATATATATACATATACATATATATATACACACATATACATATATTACATTTATTTATTTATATAAAAAGAAGACTAACTCGTTTTACCTGGTTTCAGGACTAATCTGGACTTCCAAGAAATTTGGAAAAATGAAATCGATACGGTGAGTAGTTCTCAGTACAGTTCTTGCATGAAACACTGACGCTTAGCCCAGACCAGTGCAGTTAACCGGAGACACTGTGCCAGAGGAAAATTTAGTTGTTATTAACCGTTGAGTGTTTGTTTTCCCTGACTTTAGTTACCGATTATTTGACACTACACATTGCTAATATATGTTTACGTGTAGAATTCATACCTATTTCTAAACAATATGGGCTTTGCTATTATCTAACCACAGATAAACAAAATGAACCTAAGACTAATGTAAATGATAATCTTCTCTAAATTTTGCATATTTTTTTTCTAGTGGCTGCGTCCTACTGAGTCTAATTCGGGCAGCCTTCACATCAAAGCCACTTGGTATGATCTGAGTGACTCCGCTGATTCTCTGCAGATTGTAAGTTTTTTACCTTTGTTCGTTGGCTAGTGGGATAACTCAACAGATTTTAATATTATGCTTTTAAAAAGTCTCTGAAATAGAATGACATGATCTGATTTATTTTCAAAACATAAAGGGTGAAAATACGGTGTATTAATAAGATCCTCCACCTTTCCGCAGCAGCTGGAAGAAATGTGCGCCCTGCAACTGCCGACAAAAAAGCCATTGCACAGCGCAGTGCTCGTAGTTTGGGTAGACGCCGCCAAGAATCTCGTAAGTCGACATCGCTTTAGAAAAAAGGTGCCGTGATCTCCATTTTCCCAGCGTAGATATGAAGATATATCAACTATATAACAGTTTGCAGATAAATTTTGCTTTAGAACTACCAACACGTCGAACCGAAGAAGATAAAGGCCATGTCTCGAGGCAGTCAGACATGCCTCTTGGTCTTCCTGCCACTTAAATTAGAACATTAGATACTCATTCCCATTCTTGCCAAAATCCCGTATCGTTTTCATCAAGCCCCAATGTTGCAGAGTGAGCCAGACACATTCGTGAGGGTCATCGTCGATGACGTGAAGAAGGAATCGACGGTGAGGGAACGCACGAAGGACCCGGTCTACAGGGAGGGCTTCGTGTTCCTGATCCGGAATCCGTGGACGCAGAAACTAAGGCTGGAGGTACTGGCTTCGAAAGGGGCGGGTTGAGGACGCGGTTTAGATGTGTTTGGTGACGGCATTTTAGATCGGTCTTTTATAGTTGGTAGAAGGAAGGTATTCGTTTCAGGTCCAGGTTGATTGTTATTGAGACACGTTCTATTGTACTTTCTTTAATTTTTCACCTTCCGTGCCTTATTTTTCCTTCGTTCAGTTCTCCGTCTTTCTTTCCTTGTCATGTGCGTCATCACATCTCCCCTTCTTTCCTTATCCTTCCTTCTTCCTCCTTCCCCCATTTTTCGGTATGTATTTTACCCATCTTTCTTCTTTTCTTTGTCTCCCCGCTCTTTATTTTCTTCTGTATCTTTTATCTTTTTATTTACCTTATTTTTCTTTATTTTTTATATGATTTTTATCCTCATTCTTCATATTCATATTCTTCTACTTTGTCTTCTGTAACTCTTCCTCACCTGCATCGTTCTTTACCATCTTCTTTACCATTTTCTTCTTAACCTTCTTTTTCTTCTTCAACTCGTCCCCTTCCAAGTCTTTGTCCTTCTCTCTTCACTCCCTCTTCCTCCCCAGGTAATCGACAGAAGACGAACAGAACGTCGTCTAGGCAGAGTGGAGGTGGACCTGAACAGCGTCTTGAATGAGCCCAAGTTGGAGGTCAGAGGGAAGGAGTTCGACCTCCAGGACAGTGGCGATGAAGAGGAAAGGGCAACACTCAAGTTAAACATTATACTGAGGGTGAGCTTCGCCATGGAAATTTCGTGTGTATAGTGTCGGGTTTATATATATTTGTGTCATTGTTTTGGAGAAAGTCGCTCCAGTGAAATAGGTCAGTATCTATTTTTTTCCATTTCTGAACGTTAACGTAGTGTCCCGAAGCTTCCGGGTTACATACTTTATACACTTTATCTTATCCAAAGAGAATAAAAAGGACAGTGATAGTACAGCCAGAAATAAATACTTCTTGTAATGTCAAAGAGGTGAAAATGTTATAATAGTTTTTTTTATTATGCTATTTTAAAGAGGATTAGAAAAAATATATACACAAATTACGTAGCTTTTCAAAATTATGTTCTTACGAATAGTTAAGGAAATCGGATAAGCGTAGTTATATATCTAAAAAGAGATCTTGAGCTAAAGATAACTTGCTTTATTTCGTTATTGTAGAAATTTCTTAAAAGTTATAAACTCTTTATGAACAAGACTCAAGTGTCGACACGATTTGAATTGCTGTTTATTCCATCAAAGTTTATCAAAATCCAAGGAACTTCATGTATTTTTTGAGAAAGGAAATTGAACGCGACATTTAGGAGAGCGTTGATTTGTTTTATAATATAGCATCTATAACTGTGATCAGTTTAAAACTATGTTTTATTGTTTGCAGATCCTAAAGAAAGCTGCCACAGAGACTAACGAAAGAGTTGCTGTTGAATGAGACTAAAATATTTGAGTTTTTGCATTTGTTGTTGATTTACAAACATGCTTATTTTTATCATAAGCAGTAGAGCGAAATAAATTGCAAAAGGAATAACAGTTACAGAAAAAATGTATATATCTCTCGAGTTTCATATTTACGGGACAGATGAAGAAAAATAAGTGGTGAACAAAGTTTTTTTTGCATGGATACACTGTTCTTAATCTCAAGGCTCAAAATTCTTCTGGTGATAAACAGACTATCTGAACCTTAGTTATTTACGTCAAAAATTATATGAAACTTCAAATATAAGCGTCGTGCAGAAGACTTGAAGTACCCAGACCCATCAGGCTGTTCTTTACGAGAGCAATCTGTCTTGAAGCAAAGATTTATAATCCCAAAACAATAGGGCTTGTGGTCATGACTGCCGTAGCCTCATTTTGAAAGATTTTGAAAATATTTGTATGATTCCTAAGTGGCTAATGAATTCTGTTGTCATTATTTTGGTCCTTTTTCAAGTATATCACATGTGATTTTTGTTATATAATTGTTGTATAGTGATTCTACAGTGTTATGTTCTAGTAAAATATATGAAAAATCAGGAAGGGTGTTTCATTCAAAGATCATTGATGTGTGCATATACACAAGTAAGCTAAAACAGTTTCTGACTGTACCTGGCAAATACATAACTGTAGCGAGTTTTTACCATTGATCAGATCATATAATGACCCCCCCCCCCCCAGCTTCTTCATATGAGAAATCTTGCCCCAACATTTAGCTTAGATCATTCGGGGGTAGAAGACATTGCGCAGGTAATTGGTGGTGCTGCTTATGCATTCTCTCTTATATCGCTATCTCCTTTTGTTTTTTCAATCATAATGGTTAGCTAATATAGCTTATTATCGAGCAATATGATTGCATTTAATAGTCTCTTAACTATTATATTTGATACTGTAAAGGGTATTTCAGAGCAGGAACCCTTCATAGATACGAATCGCAAGTGCATTCCTAAAAAGCTTGTCGCGGCACATGAATTTTTGGTGCCTGTGAAGCCTCGCTTGCAGATCCGCATGGTCTTGATGAGTACGCCTGTTACAGTATGATCGTGTGGTATGTATGTAGACAACAGTTGTGGATCCACGCAATTCAGCCAACGAATCACCAATGTGAAGCGAGACCCCCCACTGCCTCGGGTTATGGTTATTACTTCATGCTTTCCCAGATTTACCTAAGCTTCTCACCAGCCCGGCAGTTGTGGCGGGTGATACCTGTATGAGGAAATGTGTATGTACCTGTTCCTGCAAAAAGTGCAACAAAGTGACGACTGGCGCGCCCAGTGCTCACGACAGTAATGAGTATGGGCAATGGTGCGTATATACCACACACGTGAGACCCAAGTCTTACTCTTTGAAAAGGACTACAACGCCTCTTGGTAATGATGTATGGAGTGCCAGTAGTTCACATCCTGTGACATCTGGGAGTCATCTAGCTAGAGGTGGGGTTCTCTTTACCTCTCTGCCGCTACGCATCTCAAGGCTTCTCATCTTGGTTGAATTTTTAAAGTCATTTTTTCCAGTCTGTCTGCAGGTTCATATCCTGTGCGGCATAGCTTTAATGAAGGAGTCCATGCTCTTAGCTAGTATTTACTGTTTGAGCTGATGGCATATCAATGCCTCAGTACTTTCTGGCTGAGGTGCATGGCCAGTGGAACTTAGATGAACTTGTTAGATCATGTGTAACTCAAAAACCTTCATCAATAGATGATCCTAGTTGCCTAGTTTTTAATTATTCCTGGCTTTAGGGCAACAGGTACACGGAGGGCAAATGGTTTAAGAATGGTTGGCTGAGGGTCCGTCCTTTAACTGACAATAGTTCTAAGAGATGACCATGTAACCCGAGTCTAGTAGTTCTGTTCCTGTCCAACTCTGGACTTTACCTATGATTCCCCTGTGGATCATTTATGTGTAAATAAAATACTAAAACAACCGTTAGATACAGTGTGTGTATGTGCGTTTCTTTTACCTAACTCGGGATCTCATGTGCAATAGTAATTTATCATTTATTGAAAATTAGCGGCATATTCAAAATATAGTGATAAAGTGGGGCTTGGAGGCAAATTCCCCGGGTATGGAAGTTTTTGGCTCGTAAGGCGATGTTTGTGGATAGGGGGGGGTACATTTAAATAATCATTGTACGTTTTACATTTGGCACACACCTTATTTGGATATTATTCCATGTTTCAGTAGTTACGCTAGGAAAACTGAACTTTGACATCCTTATTTCCTCTTTTACTTTCAACCTTCTACTGTGTCAAGTTCTTATTTTCAAAATTTATTCAACTTTACTGCTCCTATCTATCTTTTTCCTTCTTTCCTGCATTGTCGGAAGTTCTATTTTCTGTATTCTATCTCTGTAATTCATATCTCTTAGGGATAAGAAAATAATTTGAATATAAATTTGAAAAAGCTTTATTATTCATCTATAATAACCTTCACCAGGACAATTATCACAAAGTAGTAGTTAAAATAGACACATCAGGTTGTAGAATTTTTTGGTACATAGTTGTTAGTTTACAGCTTACAGTATATATGCAATATCAGAGGATTCATATTGGGCTTATGAATAAAATAATCAGTGTTTTTTTAATAATCAATTTTTTTTTCTTTTCTTGATAACATCCTGGGAATTCACGATCATCCACATTTTTGGACCAATAACAAAGTCTTAAAGTACATTTCTTCATTGTTTTCCCCATTTCTAAAAGCAGCGTTCTTGGTGGGTCCTTTAAGGTGTTTTCTTAGTGGTAGATTTTATTTTTGTAAGTAAAACAGGTTTCCCAAAAATGAAATATTCCAACATTAGCACACTAATCAAGAAAACCAATAACACAAAACTTTGTTTTTGGTGGCTGTATTTAGCACCAAATAATTGCAGAAACCAATATATCTAAGATCTTTTCCATCCATATAACATTCAACAATCAAAGAAGCAATAGAGTAATCTTTTGGTAGATATATAATATGAACCTGAACCTCTTAAGTACAATTTTCAGTGACTTTTGAAAATACAAAATAAAGGAAAGATGTGCACAAATATGTCTGTATAAATAAACAATGCAAGTAAAGCTTATACAAACATATATTTCTGTATCTGCATGCACACACACAGGCACACACAGTCACCCACCTTTGTAAACACATGAGTACTCGTAAACATCCACACATCTGCATGTAGGCTAAAGCATATCCTGATTTACTCTGTTACAAGCATAGATCGGTAATACGTTTCATCAAGCTCTTTTTGGACAAAATATCTAAAATAACTACTTTTAATAAGGCATACCATTCAAGATTATGTTTTACTTGTAACTGTACAGATTTTTCTATAATATAACCTATGACTTTTGACTGCACGCTATGCAACACGTTCAGAAACTCGGAACATTTATATCACTGTAAATTTAAGTGTGTTTTGCAAATACACCACATTGCGAGATTAAAATAATTAATGATTAAAAGAAGAAAAAATATCTCATTATTAGGGGCTTGTCAATCGGCTGAAGCCTACCACAAAGGGCCAAATTTAGCAAAATAAATTGTATATAGCAACTACATTTTCAGATCTTGGCATAAACAATGCAAGCTGCATAAATCTAACAGATAAATATTTAATATATTGTACATAATCTATACACTAAAGGCAGTCTTATTTTTCGTTTAATATAGCAAGGCAAATTTATAATGCATATAACATTATATTTTAAGTAATTCATTGTCTCTCTATGTTAATTTTACTACCAATTATTAACACTGAAAAAGATCAACAGCAAAATTCCTCACTAAAATACTATAGCACCAATTAGAAAGAAACCCTATTGCCCTACTGGATTTAATAAACCACTTATTATAACTGATGGGATGACTATCAGTGTCGGTTGTATATTCTCGGTCAATACTTAGCATATACTCCTTTTTAGGTTTTCTAAACACTGGTATGAAGTTAATTGTTGAAGATAATTCTTCCCTAAAAAGTAACAATAAAAAAGTTATTACATGATCTAAGCCCCAAAACACAATGTAATTACTCACATTATCTGAATGTCTGGATGGGATGTAGAGCAAAATGCAACAAAACTTTGTAAATACAATATTAAAAGTTTTATAATAAGAACTTCCACCATGTGATCATGGCACATGAAAAATCAAACATTACTGGGAAACATATTTAGTCATGCTTTAGCGCCATTCAAGTACGAAAGATAATAAATATCTTGCTGCCTTAGCTGTCATTTCTGTAATTTCTATTCTCCTCAAGCTTTATAAGCTGTCCAAATAATGCTTCACACCTTGTCAGTAATGAAAAGACAAAGTTTGCATCATTTCTAAGCATTGCATTATTACCTTGTAATTTGTCTTCAATGAATATCAAAGCTCACTAGCAAAGTTTAAATTTTCCATTCTGGAATGAATGGTGCTTTCTGACTGGTTAACCAAATCCTTGTTTCTTTTCTGTTGAGAATTACCTTTTCTTTTTTCTTATATGTTTTCCTTACATGTTTACTTTTAGGAAAGTAAGCTTTTTTCACAGTTCTCAATATACATCTACACAGCAGCCATTTGCTTCTCTTGTTCCTGAGAAAGATATTTTGCTGCAAAAAATATATAATAAAACTCATATTTAAACCTTTTCTTATATTTTTTTCCAGCTAAAGCTCCATAAATCAGTACAATATAACAATACAAGCAAACATTAAGTTACTATTGCAATGTGTGAAAAAGAGAATAACTGCAGGACACATTTAAAGAACAGCCAGAGTTGGCTATCAAATTGGCACACAAATCTGAACTAAATGGTAAAACTATGAGATTACTAAAGAATGAACACGCACAGGCCTATGGGATATCAATCCACTCTTCCTGTCTACCATGTCCTACACACAACCATAATATATACTAGGGAGATGAGTGAGAGATGCAAGAGCACCCACCTTTTTTTCTTTTCTTTGAATGATGGGCACAGTGAATGGTGAAATTTATGAATGACAATAACAAAAATAAGCTTGGAAAATTACTTTCTATAAAAAACTAACCTAAAGTAAAATGCAAGTACTTGTAAAAGCTCCTATTTGTGCTGTTAACTATAAGGCAAATATAAAAATAACCCTGGACTGAAGAACACACTAATTAAGGCCACACAATACTGAAATTTACAATTATTTTTTTTTAACTAACTTGTGGTGATACCTAAAAGAAAAAACAAGGATTCCATAATTTCAATTTATATTCATCTACTTCCTAAACTCATTATAAAGAGAATGGATGAAAGTTCCAATTTCATTATTTGTGTCAAGTGCCATAACTTCAGCAGCAGGAAAAGGGATTTTACAGAAGAGAGAACAAAATATTAATTAGTAGCCTATAAGCTGTTCTACCAAATAGCTTTTCATTGATTCTGGTATCAATGTAACCCTCAATAAACATTATTGTACGACCAAGTGTGCAGGCCAAGTGTGTTTGCTCATTCCAGGCATTGCATGGGTAAAATTTTCTTTGTGTGTTATGATCTGCATTTTCCTTGTCTCGCAATTAACTGTTCATCAGCCTGTATTCTTGCCTCACCATTCCCATGTTTCAAAATAATCAAATCAAAACACTATCTAAACATATGCTATCTGTACTATCTGTTTTGCGAGAAAATCATACATCCATAGAAGCATTTGAAGCTAGCTTAAACAATCATACTTTTTTTTTCTTTTTACTCTTAGCGATATCAGCTAGCTTAGTAATTCGGCGAAGGCTCCCTCGCCAACTTCCGACTCGGCCTAGCACACTTTGCCGTCCTCACTCTTCATCATCATCCGCTGCTGGAGCAAGGTCATACCACTGGGTCATCTTGCTGGAGTCAAGGAGGCCACAGTCCAATCTGACCTGAAAACAGAAAGAAGTGACTGAATGAACATCATTAACAATCAGCTAATCCTGATTACTCTTGATATATTACTTAAGATATATGCAGATGCATATGAATACTACAGTAGATGAATAAATGAAAGCTTCAGAAAAAGTTCATGCCATCTCAAATTATTCTTGGAAATATCTTCTATCTCAACAAAACTCATAATTTGAATTCTAAAAAATTAAAAGGTGAAGTAATATGTATTTTTATTTTACACATTAAATTAATTTCTCCACAGCATATAAACAAGAATAAAACATGGAAAAAATATATAAATAAATAACGAGACTGAACTGGCTTCCAAGTGTTTTTAAGAGATACACATGTGTTTCATATTTTGTATAAAAAAGCAGAAAGTAGCAAAATATTTTCCTCACCTGACCCATCTTTGGTGATCGTTGCAAGAAAAGAAGTCCCTTCTTGTTGATGACACTAACTTCCAGGGTGCGTTGTGTGAGCTCATTGGGTGGGATAGGATACTCAAAGCGCTCATCATACTTGGGATTGCAGTCATCTTTGATGACATCAGTTTTTCGCTTGCTGTCTTTTGAGCGGTCTGGTAGAAGGTATAACTTCACATAGGGATCAGGCAGCTCTCCATCCTCCTCCTTTGGCAAATTCCTGGGAGGTAAATGGTTTTATTTTGTAAATAATCTTAATAGAAAAATTCACAGAACAATACAATCCAACATTAATTGTGTGTATTCAGCAAAACAAATTTCAGTGTGAATCTCATCAGGAATAATGCCTGTTCTGAGAAGGACATCTTATATTTTCCTATTTACCAAATATATTTACTCACTCAATCTGATGTACAACAATGATGAGATTGTTCCTTGGACCATACTTGACTGTCAGCTGAACACGACCAAGCCCATGTATCCCAGCATTGCTTCCAGGCCTAGGGGATTAATGTGACAAAATAAAATGTCTATTCCTTGATTTCAAAGTACTTAATAATGTAATTTCACATACAAAGGTATATAGCATTCTATTAAAAGTTTTACAGTACCATTACCTCTAAAATCAAAATGTAAGCAGTCTATATGCAATTTACAAGTTTCACTATTTCACACAAAAAACAAAAAGACCTACGTTGTCCTCTGCCTGATGGACGATTCTTCGCTGGATGTTGCCGAGGGGAACATCTGCATCAGAGGAGTAGCTGCTGTGGACATCACCTCTTCAACAGAAGTAACCTCTGCAGGAGGCTCGGTACCTTCTCCTGGTGCTGGAACAGACACATCTGTAACACAAGTACTAATAAGAAAAAAGGAAGGCCAAATTCTTCCTCTAACAAGAGTTAATTACAAAGGAAGGAAAAAGCATCTCTCAACATCACAAGAAAATTAGTCTAATGCACATTCAGATCTTGAAATAAGATCAAAATATGTTTAAAGCTATTAAG